CTCCCCATTTTCTCCTCTGGCAAAAATAGATTGATCAGCAAGAAATTCAGTACCATACAAGGAAGAAACAAACAAACAAGATATTCCCTCCCATGTGTATCACTTATTATATATATAACTTACCTTAGAAATATGAAAGCATCACCAGCTACAAGTTTTTTTGAACTAACAAAAACACTCCAACCAGTTGTAAGCAAGTGGCGTCTTGGTTGGCCTGCAGTTGATATTCATCAGTGTCCTCGCGTTATGGTAGCTTAAAAGTAAAAATATTATAATCCAGCAGAGTGAATAATATAAATTCATTCATCAGGCAAATGATGGAAATTGGAACAATTCCCAGAAAGCTCGTCCTTAACGAGAAAAGTAAGACAAAACCTAGCAAACCAACAGAAAGGAAAATGTCTCAAACTTCACATATTGAAAAAAGGAAATGACATAAAGAGACACCAAAATAGATGTTGTACAAAATCATGTTGCGGAAGAAGTAATCTCAAATTGCAAAAAAGAGCCATTTTCCCCCTTTTTGATAAGAAAAACTTAAGCGTCACTAACAATGGACAAGTTTTGACACTTAGTACACGGGAATCATAACTTTCAAGAAAGTCTAACACTTCAGGAAACACAAAATAAAGTTAAGGAGGATGAAGGAGCAAACCACATTGGTATTTAACACTAATTTAGTGTTCAATGCAGCAAATCAACAGCTTGTACATTGCAACAATCCAACTTTTGATAAGCTCACTAATTTCATTGAGCAAAAGATTTTTTAAACATGAAAAATAACAGTTGTATTTGGGCATATATTTTTGGCACAAACTGAGTATTGACCCATCAGTCATTTAAATGAGTAGGCCCATGTTGCACAAAGTACATAATAGCTTCATCCAGTTTTCTGTTCAGATCAGCTAGCAAAGTCCAGCTCCACTACAAAAAATTTATTTTAAATGATGCTCAGCAACTGTTATTGACCTCGAAAAATGTGCCTGAAATGCCATTCACTGCCATGCAGATCAGTTGCAACCAATTCCTGCCATGGCGGCTGCTGGGACATATCCTGAGAAACAGAATATAAGCATTAAGAGAATGATTGAAAGAAACTGCATTCAATAATATAAAAACAACTAAACATTAAAGCTAACCAGTGGTGGAAGACAATCATCTGCATGCCTCCGAAGAACAGAGAACCCACCATGGGTGCTTGTATCGGAAGCAGTTAGAGTCTTGCAAAATGAATGGACTGTACATCTTTCAGGTTCTGGCAGTGGGGGGTCTGGGCTAGTAACTTCACTTTGCTGATCAGAATCATTGAGGAAGCATGGTTACAAGAGAGGTGGGATATATAAAAATGGAATATAATCATGATTCCGCAATATAGAAGCAATTAGAGAATCAGAAAAATCTAGATAATAAGATCACTTTGTTAAAATCAACAAAATAACTGTACAATTGTTTGTTAGAGAGAGAGAACTCACATCTGGATCAGGTAGCAAAGTTATTTGTGCATACACTTCATCTGTTTCAGGTTCAGCCTACATTTCAGTAAAAATAGTAAATGAACTGAGAACAGTCATAACTTTTGCTTCATCTGTTTCAGGTTCAGCCTACACTTCTCAAATTAAAATACATAAAAAAAGATAATATTCTAAAGGATAACTGAAAAACAGTCATACCTTTCGCTGAATATTAACCACTTTACAAAGAATTTTAGATGGCAGATTGAACGAGGGCATCTGCTGTTCCGCATCCTGATTCATTGATGCCTCAAGCTGTAAATATGACCCCCCAAAAGAAAAGAACAGTGAGAATATAGAAAATCCAACCATGTAAGAGAATGAAATATAAACACTTCATTAACCACTTAACAGGACATTTGAAGAAGCCAAAACCTGGGAAGTAACCACACAATCCAGCCTTGGCTTTAGCCCTTAATAGGCAGAAGACCCAGAGATGTCCAGGGAAATGATAACAAATTTAAGACTATCAAACTCATAAGTTAATCCAATAACCAATGTACCTGTTCCATGTGACCTTGTGGAAAGTAATAAACTCGCTCCCCTTCACGAGGAAGGGTTACAAGCGGTCCAGCACAAGCATGCCAAAGTTCCTTGTACAAAGCATCACTGGCAGGGCCTGTTAAGGAAAACGTAAACAAAAGCACAATCAGGATGGCGGAGTTGGTCTAAGGAGCCAGTTTCAGGTTTTGGTCCAAAAGCGCATGGGTTCAAATTCCATTCTCAAAAAAATAATTTATCTAAAAAAGAGAATATTTTTAGCGAAAGAAAGAGAAACACTTAAAACTGCATAAAGTGCAACAAGAAAACAAATTATTACATCACACAGACATGAGAAAAACTTGGTACGAGCCAGTCCTTGATGATATGTGCTTGCAGAGGATCATCAACTACATCAGACTTACGAAAATACAAAAGCTTGGTTAAGTTCACCTAATCCACTAAAAAGGTGGGTGAGAGCTTGCTACCAGGTTCAATCCAGGATGCCTACAATCCCTCCTCAACATCACCATAAACCCTTAACTGCTCCTCATAGATCTAACTCCGGACATAACTCATAACTTCATTTTTTTGAGAACCATCTAATTACTTCAATTTAGTTAGACTTAGCAAGGGGAAAAAAAGTTAAGACTCAAAAAAGCCAATTTAAGAAAGATCGGTCTCAAACCTGTATGAGGTCCTCCAGAGGTATGATTTGGAGCCGAGTATGCCATCAGAAACCCCTTAAACTCACCAAGGAACAGTCAACCTATAGAAAATCATGTGTTACGAACCTTTTTAAGTAAAAATATTCAGTAATAATGGAATATTTGGGAATTAACTCTTCGAACAACCAGAACAAGTACTTCATTAATTGCATTTGCTAATTAGGAGCAACAGAGCTGATAATCAAGGCCTAATTACTAACTGTGTGAGTTAGTATAGCTCTTCTTGTGTCTTAGAAAAGCAAATAAGCTGTCTGCTTAACCGTTTCAGGCGAATTAGTAAACACGTAGAAGAATCAAGAACCTTTCAACGGTTGAAAATGCGTTCAACTTTTCGCTGGGGAAATAAAAAGAAAATTTCTGTTCGTTACCATAAAAGCCATTTCTGAAACATAAAAACAGAAAGATATAAATGCAACTATTGAAATAAAAAGAAAAAAAAAATATGGATTTGGGATCTAATCATAAAAGAACAATCATCCATGAAGATCAACTACTCAGCCAACCTAGACCTCGAATTTCAACTTTTACGAAGCCAAAACACCAAATCAAACAGCTATACAAGACACAATCCCTCATTTAGCTCCATTTTCTCAGTTCTTCCAAATAGAAACTCATACTAAGCATCCACTGCAACACAAACCAAATACTACTTACTTCCAGAGTTCCACCTGCAACACGCAAGATCTCCACACGATCAGCCGTAGACAGCTAGGGTTTTGAATTGAACAAGAGAGGATCAAATCAAACCGATCGAATTAGATCGAGCTATGTAGTTATTATACACACAACTCCATAGAAAAGTGTAGAAAATAGTACATACAGAGAGAGACAGAGAGGGAGAGAGACGTCTTACACATATAGAAAAGTATC